ATACAGATTGATCCTGGAAGAAAACTGTTTTATAGGCTGTTAAGGAATTCATGCTGGGAAGAAGAGTCACCTTCCAGTAGGAAAACAACAATAAGCATAAACACAGTTACATCAAAAAATATAATATATATATATATATATTCATGAGTTAGAACAGGCTAGCTAAAGTACACATACACAAATCCAATTGAGAAGCTGGTTAGAACCAGAATTACAGAATCACTTCGAAAGAAAACACAGCATACAGCGCTGCTTTTAATTCCCCCCCCTCCCCTGTTTAGACCAGATGAGAATGTATAGCTCCTACTGCAATCAGCAGAGGAAATTTCTTTAATTATCCATGGCAACCGCTCTCCTCTGGGGCTACATTAGAACATGTGCTTTAACAAACAACAACCTGCTCTCCAATCACATCCCTCAGCTCCTCTGTAAGCCCGTGCAACGTGGGCTTGGGTAGCTGTGAAGAAATCACAAACAAAATTATATTTTAAGTTTGGCTCCTCACCGCCCACCTCCCGTCCTACTCGCTCGCATAGTGTATGCGAAATGTAAACACTTTCCTTTTCCCCTTGGCGAGAAATAAATAGCATGTAATTAAAGCCAGCTTGGCAAGAGACGATTTCTAGCTTGAAGAAGGAAGCTTCTTCTTCTTCTTTTTTTTTTTTTTAAACAAACACATTTTATTACTCCATTATAGTCATAATGGTTTCTTGCATTGCAAGTTCTTCCCTCTGCTCCTCTTGATTTTCGAACTGAAAGCTTTAAGTGGAATGGTCCAACAGCGTCAATTTGTGCCCTCAGTAATTCTAGTAAAAGTGCTGCCAAATGTATATTATGATCTTGCTCTCTTTTAGGACTGTTGTAAATTTAATTATTTAAGCATCCTCTAATGAAAAACCATAAAAATAATTAAGCTTTCAGTCTTACTGCGGTCCTTCTCCGAATAGTTCCAAATGTATCTTAACCTTCAAATAATTTTTTTTTAAAATCTCGGTTATGAATTGTCTTTCATAATGTGCATTACTAAGCATCTCTATCGAACTCTTGAAAAAACTGAATGTTGAGTCACACTGCCATCTGGTGGAAGTTTACAGTGTCTGTCTTTATAGTTGTGACACTGTCTTTTTGTTTATGTAGTTTCTAAAACATTATAAATTACTACGCAATTTATCACATCTGTTTTCAGAGAATTTCAGTTTTGAATTTGAGATGTGGGCTCAGCGTTTGTATAAAACATTTTGCTCTTGTCCCACAGAAGATATTTTACTTGAGACCAAAAAAACAAAGAAATGAGTCTTCAGTTAAATTTTTTTTTCTCATTATTTTATCCAACTTTGAGCAAAAACGGTCTTATGGATGCTGTTCTTGGCCAACTCACAGGTCCTATTATGGGATAATGGTGCCCAGTTCAAAATGGACAGTACATATAGAACTCATTTGGGTTCTGCTTTCTGTCTCATGAACCTATATAAACCACACTTGGTGTCCATTTTGTGCCACTATCCGCAGACGATCCTATCCGTTCTCCACTTTTCAATCGATTTCCTTCCTATATGTGTCCTATTTGAAAAATTATTGTCAATTACAAGCATGTAAAAAAAAAAAAAAAAACTTTGTAGCTGTTCTTCTGTGCATCGTTTCTCTGATTCTGTGTGCCTGACCAGCATGTTTGAGATGGACCAATTCCAATGACATGGCACTGCTTAAGAAATTAAAACAGATCAATGAGGCAGCAGTGAGCGCAAAAGATAAAGTCTCTCCATTACTTTTGTGAAAACAAACATCCTCAGGGGGTTATTGGAGATGAGTGATACATGAAAAAGTGCTGTGCTCAGACTGGAGTTAGCATTCCACGGATAAAGCTGCTTTTGTCTGGCCTGAGCTGTTGACCAATGACTCTACTCTTGCACTTAATGTTCTCCGAGGAGGTACAATAAATCCCTACTCATTAGATTCTTTCATCTCCAGTGGTAAGGAAATCTTAATATTTCACTTTAAGTAAAAATAGTTATATCGTGAGAGTTTTTGTTCCCATTAAAGGTCACGGGTTAACGTGCAGTGCTATACAAATGTATTTTCACCAAATTTGTCCACCTTTTCCTTTATGTCAGTTAAATGTGAAGGATCCTCAAAGGTTTTTATTTATTTATTTCCTTTATGGTAAAAATCACTTTGAGATCTACATTTCATATTCAAGAGGGACCTGGGAATTTAAACAACAACAAAAAAAGATAAACTTAAGGAAATGTAAAATGTTGTTTTTAAAACTGCCCTATTTGAAAAAATAATTAGCCCCTAAGTCTAATAGTTAGTTGCTCCCCAGTTGACTGTCACCACACATTTGAAATAAATGTTAAGATTTCTGGAGGAGTTTTTTATCCACTCTTCTGAATTGTTTTATTCGGCCACTGGAGAGCTTTTAGGATGGATAACCTTTTTAAGGTTAATGCTACAACATCTTAATTGGATAAATCCAGATTTTGACAAGACCACACCAAAATCTTTAATTTATTTTGTTCCGAGTCATTCAGTTGCTGCTATGCACCTTACCCATGTCTTGCTGCGTAGCTCAAGTGAACTTCAGCTTCCGTCCACAAACACATGGCCAGAAACTCAGATAAGGCATTTGTCCAGGTACTGCAGCAAAGACAAACATCCGTCATCTATCACCATGTTTGCCTGTTAATATGCTATTTTTCTGATATGCCCCGTCAGTGTTACACTGGATGTAATGGGATGCACATCTTCCAAAAAGTTCCACTTTTGTCTTGACAACCCACAGAACATTTCCCCCCAAATATTGTAATGTTTATACTCAAAGAACGGCTCAACACTTTGCATTTGTGGAGGATCACACAGGAATGTTCCCTTCAATAAATCAAACCAAAATCATTTATTCACTGCATTGAGTATTTACTCAGGTTATGTTTGTTTGAGATTAAAATTTGGCTAACGATCTTAAATGTTTGGAATTATGATATACTACAGCATATTGACGTTCCTACATGGAGGGTTCAGACAATTCAACAGAAACTGGACAGAAACTCCTGTTGAAGGCTGTTTTACAAGAAACATTAAATCAACCACCCCATTAGTTTGCTCTTTTGTATCATCAAACCCGATCGAACTACATCCTGTGTCTAGGACGCATCTCTGTGCCGCTCAATATTGCAATATCGCTAGTTCGTTTTATTATTTACATTTTTCCTTACAGAAAATCTGTAAAAACTTTTATTTTCATAATTAAAAAGAAAGATAAAAAAAAACTTTAAACAAGTCTCTTTCTGTGACTTGAAAGTTCATAGTCAAACACACCAACTTAATAACAATGCAATTATTGACACTGATAAAAATCCTGCTCTGTATGCAGCAGATGGGATTTTATTAATCTATGTGCCATTGAAATGTAGCACAGGAGAACACAAAGTGCAAGTAAACAAAGATAACCTCAATGAAAATGACTAAGGATTTTAAATGACAGATATGATCTTTGCATCAGATTTTGTATAAACAATGAGACAAGTACCATATTGGATTGACCCTATACTGATGGGGCAATATATTTTCATCAGGCATACAATGACGCACTTTGAATGGTGCAATAGTGGTATGATTTTCATCTTATTTGAGACAATGATATATTAAAAAAAAACATTTTAGTCCCATAAAAAACTGAAGCAGCAGAGAGACTAGAAGAAGGATTCTGACCTTAGCATAGGTAGCAATTTTTTCTTGGTTGATGTTCCTGTTCTTTGCTTTTAAAGGAGTTCAGTCTATGTTAAATACCACCTCACTTTTTGACTTTTATTATTCACAAAGGCATAAGGACTCTTACTGACAGTGACAAGTTATTAACAGGGTTTGCGGTAACACTTTATTTGAAGGGATGTGCATAAGACTGACATGACGCTGTCATAAACATGACATAACACCTGTTATGAACAGAACAAAGTCTTTATGGATGTTTATGACAGTTGGCATGAAGTGTCATTCAGTAAATAATGACACTTTTAATGCAAAGTTGCTCTAAAAGTTGCATTAAAAGTCAATTAAAAATGACAGCTTTGCATTAAATTATCATAATTTGCAAAATCATGCAAAGTTGGCACTTTTAATGGACTTTTAATGTAACTTTTAGAGCAACTTTGCATTGAAAGTGTCATTATTTACTGAATAACACTTCATGACACTGTCATAAACATTCATAAAGACTTCGTTATGTTCATGACAGGTGTTATGTCATGTTTATGACAGTGTCATGTCAGTCCTATGGACACCCCTTCAAATAAAGTGTTACCGGGTTTGCATTGTTTGATTTGATGTTATATATACAATTACACGTGATATTTCAGGTTGAAAGCCTAACCTGTATGTTGGGTCCAACCCTGTTGTGTTAACTCAACCCAAGGCTGACTCAGTCCATATTTAACTTTGCACCAGATAAGTTTGTTTACCTAAACTCAGTAACATTAGCCTTTTGGATGCTAAGCAGTTAGCACAAGTTAGCACAGTCTGTGAGTAGCATTCACTTCTACTAAAAGAGCTGCTTTAAACCCTAAGATAAACAGACCGAGAAGAAATATTTGTACATACTGCATATCCATACTACTTGCTACAACCATATTGCTTTAAGTTTGAAAGATTATGCACTGAAGTTTAACAACTATAATTTAGCATGATTATTGTTCTTCATATGCAATCTGAAGTCTATTATGTTTTTGTTTTTTTTGCTGTTTCTAACCTAATAATTTTGAATGTAGGACTAAACTAGGCATACAGTTCACTCATTTTAATATTTCTTGTCTTGTAATTCAAGATATTGATTATTTTTTTTAACCCACTCTTTTTCTTGGCATTAGACAATAATCCATAATCCAGTTTTGGGGTTGAAAACATAAACAAATTTGCCTGAGTCAAACCCACAACCCCAACCTTGTTTCAAACCAGGACCTGTTTAGCAAAACGACTCAAATCGGATTGTTTTTAATCCAGCAAATTTCTTTTTAGACAGCTGTGCTATGTACTTACATAAACAAGATTATGTGAACAACTCTCTTCATTCCACAGTAGCTACACGTGCTAAGATAGCGTTCCTTAAAGAGTGACTTTATTTATGGAAATTCTGTTAAAATGTCCAGGAAGTCCTTGAGGTCAATCTGCTCTGGTCAGGTGAAACATAAACCTGTTGCGCATATCAAATCAGGTTGTTGGTCACATATTCACCATGACTTGCAGGGGCGTAGGGAGAGAGAAAACAAACAGTTTGCATCCTTCAGACACCGGTGTTCCCATGCCTTTTGCTGGAACATATAATGGGATATATTACTTTATTAAACTCACCCAAACAGCTCTTCAAATACTTCAAAACTAAGCCGGGCACATATTGAAGCACAAAATGAATGGTCAGTTAAGCTGGTGCTGTGAACAGTTTAGTAAATTTGTACCCACAATGTTTACACAGTCTGTCATCCAAATAACTTTCACCATGAATCATCTGCACAATGCCTTTCTTCACAGGGTAGACTCTTCTCTCTTTCAACCATAACCGCGGCTGTGCTTTTCTTAGAGTTTTGAGAGACCCTGAATAGCTTGAAAAAGGTCAATCTTTTGTACAGAGTCACATGAGTAAGCTGCAGTGTCCTGCGTGATGACCCTCGACAGCGAAGCAGCTCCCCATAGGCTTGACGGAAATCCCTGTTGAATGCTGGATAGAGGATGGGATTAAGGGTGGAGTTCAAATATCCTAGCCAGAGGACTACTGAATGGAGGGTGTTGGGAGGATTTGTCTTTTCCTTTACACCCATGCAGGTGAAGTAGCTGAAGTAGGGAAACCAACAGATGATAAATGCACCGAGTACAGCAGCCAGGGTGACTGTAGCCTTGTGCTCACGGGCTACGGCAGCAGTCGCCGAGCGTGCAAATGACGGAGTGGTAGCACGGATACGCCTTACCTGAAAAGATTGGTGGTAGAGTAGGGATGGGGAGGCAGAGAAAACAAAATAAATGTTTTTTTCAGTAATCCAAGGAACTGATTTCAAAAATCTACATTCAAAATCACAAAATCTGACAAGTGACAATATGATGTGTTGCCACACGAAGTCAACAGCCCAGAACCTAAAGTACAAAAATCCCTCCACAAATATGTATCATTATTGCTAATAATTATTGCTCATGTTAATTACATGTCACATTCTGATTCCCCTGAGGTGTTCATATGGCACGAATCAATGGGCTGTTTCTCTAACCACTCCACACCACACTTTTAATATGATGCAAAGGACTAATCAGAACACAAATGCCTCTTTTCCCTGCACTGTTCAGTGTGGTTTGGTATAGTAGTGAGGTACAGGTTGGTTGTATGGACCGTTTAAACAATGGAAAAAAGACAAAATGATGCACCAAACCACTGACGTGTGCCAAATCACTCAGGGAATATGTGGTATTAGAACTATCTGTCTGGTTTCAAATGGTTTCTGTTTATGGACGATTTAAGATAAATCAGTAATTGACACTGACCTGTTCACGTGCCACTCTGAAAATGCAAAGATACATTCCGCACATGACCATCAGTGGTAAGTAAAAGGTTCCAAAGGCATAAATAAGAACGTAGTTGTTGTTCCACTCGAACTGGCAGTAGCGTCCTTTATCAGTGCCCTCATCCCCAAATTCCCAGTCCAGGTTTTGCACCCTGTAGTCTGCTGTATTCCAGCCCAGGTGGACGGGGAAAAAAGCCACGGCCAGCGACAGCAGCCAGATGAAGCTGATGGCAAGTAACACCCTTCGCGGGGTGACTCTCTGAGAGTGGCTGAGGGGAGACGAAATGGCCAGGTACCTGTTCACGCTGATTGCCAACAGGGTCAGGATGGAGCATGTGCACAGCATGACATCCATTGAGATGTAAATATTACACAGTGTTCCTCCGAAAGGCCATTTACTATCGCGGAGCTCCAGCGTGGCAGACAAGGGCAGCACCAACACGCCGAGCAGGAGATCCGCAACTGCCAGCGACACCACAAAGCAGTTCGCTGTTCGCCACAGACGTCGGCTGAGCCCCACCGCCAAGCACACCAGCACGTTCCCGCCGATGGTCAGAAGTATAACGGACATGAGGAACAGCCAACGGAGAACTGTGGCGACAGTCATTTCCACCGCTTCACTGTCACTTTAGCTAAATTAAAATGAATCATCCACTTGGCCAGTTCAGTTTTTCAGAATATGATTCTCCTCTTGGTGTATCTTTGAGGAACGGCTGTCGTCTTCAGAAGCATGTCACTGCATGGAGAGGCCTTTGTCGCCATGTCTTTTCAAACTCTGACAGTGTTGCTGAAGTAAACAGGCCCCTGGGAAAGACAGAACAAGAATGTATTACTTGTAGGTTAAACATTTCATGGATTCACATTCATTGAAAGCACAACCACCTTTTTTTTTTCCACTTAGGTCCTTTATGGACACGTTAGATTGATCAAATATGGTGTCCCAAATTTTTACCAATGTATAAATGTTTCTCTGACCCTGAAAAAATCTGAATGTCTGCTACTATATTTCATGAGATGTGTATTGGTAAATCTTTCTTAGGCTCCTGACCTACACTAATAAATGTTAATTTATTAAATTTCTTCTGTTTTGATGTAGCAGGAGTACCGATGGACCAGTGACAGGACCACTCAGATAAATGTTTTTTTTTTTTTTTTTTAATAAAATAATCACTTAAAACACATCAGTTGCTGTCAAGTAATCTCATTTTCACAAACTCTTTGAATCAGGTCAGTCACTTCAAAAGGGATCAATTCTTTTTATCTTTTGTCATATATTTTGAATTTATTGGTCTATTACAATTGGTCCTTCAGGTGACCTAATTGTGAGTTTCATTATTCACAGATTCTCTTACTTGTGACTTTTTCTGTTGGGTATAACTCCAAATTAATTGTGAAAAATTTGGCAATTTGCTAATTTCTTTCTTAGTAGAGCATATCTAAAATATTAGAAAGAAAGTGCAGCTTGAGAATCTGACTGAAACAGGCCCGTAGTGCTGCCATGCTATTGGCTGGTGTTTTCAAAGCAGCCAATCCAGGAGTACGTTTAATTTTCCTTGGTGCTGATTGGCTGTACCCGCAAAGATGGAAGACTTTAGATATTAGGTTCTGTGGTAGTACAAGGGTGGCTTCTACTGTGAATGCTAATGAATAGTAAGGTATGTTTGGTGTTTGAACTCTTAAAACAGAAATTTATGCAAGTTTTCTGAGGGGGTCTCATATATTTGCTGAGGTTAGAAATTCACTAACAGTTGCGGTCCTTAACACCCCCATGGATGCCGGGTTCCACCGTAGTTTGTAAAAATCTGTTTTTGCCTTTATCATTAGACTTCTCTTTCAATATCTTGTATCATTGAAAGAGTCAAATTATATTGACCATGGCTTCCTTTACAAAATCAAAAACTTATCATCAATTCAGGTTGAATAGTTTTATAGGCATGCAGTAAGTTCCTCTATCCTCCACAAAGTTCCAGGTTTCCAACAAGTTACTTCCTCAGCATGGTTACTGTGTTACTTTCTAACGATTTGTTTATCCCATAGGCTGTTTATTTTTCTCATATAGTTTGAAATATATAGTCCTGTCATCTGGCTGCAGAGTAAGCTAACTAATGATCATCTGCCATCATTAGCACATCTTGCAGATTCTCTTGCAGCACCACAAGCCACACCAGATTTTATTTTACTAGATAGAACAATTCATAAAGCAAATATGCATTCATGAATAGAAAAAGGGGGCGGATTTTAAAAGATCCCCAGCACAAACAATATAAATAGATAAAAAAAAAAAAACCTCAGATGCTGAGGTCAAAGAGTTGGTCTCTGGAGATTTATTGGAGAATGCGTAGGCAGAGCAGTAATTACTCACCAATAGCGAGGTCACACAGCAATCTTTTATAAACAATCATAAAACATTCAGTGTAGTGGTTGTATAAATGTAAACTCTTTTGAAATAACTTGACATAAGACGAACAATTTATTGTGTCACCTCACGTAGTTTGAAAATACACTATAGAGTCGTTTTATTTTCGTCTTTTTCCCATTTTTACATGGTAAAGTCATGTCCCATTAGTTAATGCACACTGCCTGAGTTTATAGATCTGTTGTTCATGTGCACCTTGTCTCAACGAACAAAACGTGCCGAATGCGCTCGCGATTGTTTTTGTATCTTCTGTCAAGGCCCCAGCTGCCCCAACTGGTGAGGCTAAGACAGCGTGCATAAATGAAATTTATGACACACACAAATTATTTGATAATCAAGAAGCTAAACTAATTTTACAGCAGCATCTAATTTAATCGGATGATGTCAGGCAGTGCTTTCTTTGGCATCACACACACACACACACACACACACACACACACACACACACACACACATGCAAGTCTTTAATCTCTGAGAGAAGAAACAGAAACAAAATACTTCATTCAATACTAACATTCATCAGCGGCTAAGTAGCAGAAAATAAGATTTAATGTTTCTGAAGCCATAATGATTCATAAAGGTGCCACTGATGATGAACTAACAAGTCAAATGTCCAGCCAGTGTAATTACGTTATGTCTATTATTTATATAATGCAATAAATTCAACTGCATCCTAAAGCATTTTAGACAACTGTTGACATTAATGTAGATTAATCGTCCTCTTTACCTTGCACAACACAAAATGGCGAATTTCATATCCCTTCAAAGTCTAAACTTGTAAAAATGACAAAAAAGACATGTGTACTAAGCATGGAAACTCTGTTTCTGTTGCTGGTCATGAGTCCAGGTAGAAACTTCCCACCAATTTGTAAAATTATAACACAGTGGCCCAAGCGATATTAAGTGTAATTCATAAAGCAGAGAGATAAGACGTTTGCACCTCTGGCTTTATGGTGCATGTTTATCTGGACAGTCTCATTCATGTGGTGTTTGTACAGGGACTTTTCAGTAGCTACCAAAGCTGAAAAAGGAAGCACCATTTTACCTGGACTTCACTTTGTTTTGCTTCATGGAAGTTCCTGTCAGTTTTCCTAGTAGAAGACTGATCAGGATTTTTTTTATTATTATTGCTAGGTTCGTAAATGAATGATACATGGATGATAGCATCTAAAATAAACAACAAAAGATATGGAAAATATACAAACATACTTTAAGTTAATTTGAACCACAGGTTTCGTTTTTTCTAAAATAACAGTTACTGATACCACCTTCATACTGTTGTCTTTGCTTTTCTATGATACGAAGACAAACTGTTTTAAGTATGAAAAATTCTTTCATCTTTACTATATGCATCTAATCATCTAATATTTTATGATCCTGGGTTAAGACGTCTTTTGGACATACAGAACATTCAGTGGCTTAAGCACTAAAAATTAGAGACACAATATACATATAACCATACCTGCAACAAAATATATATAAGAACTGTGAAAATGCCCCTGCAATTATGTAATAATACAAATTTTCTACTATCATGCCATGCTATGCAGACACTCAGTTTGCACCGAGGAAGATTACCTCACGTGACATGATGAGTGATTGACATGGAAGTAAACATGTGACAGTGTTGTGAGGGATTCTTCCTATAACACAAATTCACTGCACAGTTTTAACATTTGTGTTTTTAAAATATACAATCAAATGTTTATTTTCCTTACTTTTCACAATTATGCACAACTTTAAGTTGGTGCATCACACGTAGTTGCAAAGTGATAAAATAAAATAAAAAAGTTCAAAAGGAATTTATTAATTTGTATTTTATTCTAGTCCAAATATTAGCTTACGACTTTAAATGTGGATCATACAGTATTCCTCGCATCCAGTCTGAAGGAGCATTTACACCTCACAAAAATGCCGACAATTTAATCACGCACGAACACTTTTCCCATCGTTTCCATCGCAACCATGTTTGTTCTGAACTGACGACGTCTGACCCGAGCTGTGTAACCAGTCGGCTCCTTTCTGCGCTTTAAGAATCAGGGCGTTGCATGGTAAAACAGTGAGACGACTCTAAAAGCAAACTGTCAGAATTATTTCCAGAGCTAATGATAAAGTAAATCACTTTTGCTATCATTTCGCCACGTCCTGCTGGTGAGGTGCCAGAAGAGATTGGCAACGAAATGCGACGCGATCATATTGTGAATGACCTGAGCTCATTTAACAGGTCACTGCATAATTTAGTTTCCTATTTCTGGCAACGTCTGAGTAGGAGAAAGGAAAACATTAAGTGCTTATAGGTCTCTGGAACACTATCATGCCTGAAATGTGGAAGGCCGCATGTGAATGCACTTAACGCATAATCACACAGACCACATAGATGGCTGAGCCTCAGCCTGTGTTAACACTTTATGTATGACTTGCTGTATTGCACCTCTGAGGGCTAATACTGTCTCGTTATTTGGCTAATAGTGCACGATTACTTTACGGCTTGATATCATGTTCCAAATGAGCGGCACAGTCACATGCTGATCTGTGCAGCACACAAGAGCAAAGGCTCTTATTTCCTGTAATTAAATAACGCAATGTTTCAACAGCACAGCTGTACACAGGAGTTTGAAGACACACTGCGTAATGAAAAAGGGTATATGATTTGACAACAAGAGCGAGCTTCACATCATAAATCGCTAAATTAACATGTGAAGTGGGAAATCAGCAGCGGCACAGAGCCATAAAAGACACTAAAGGAAGTTATGCGGCTTTTATTGAGTTGATTTGATTTTTTTTCCCGTTATTTATTAATCCACGCTTCCATGTTCACTTTGTGAAATCGGCATAGTTTTTGTTTATTTAAAGTTAAATACGCCAGAAGAGTTTTTGTTTTATTTAAAGTAGCCTCACAATCACATCTGACATATGTTCAAGCTCCCTTTAGAAAACACCCAGAATACATGGAAGAAAGCAAACACAACATTTGAACTGTTAACTTAAAATAAAGTAGATAAGCAGGAGTTTATTGCTAAGAATGAGGCAAAAAAAAAAAAAAAAAAAAGCTTAAATGTACAAAGTGTTCCTTCGTGTCCCTTATGTGTTTGGTGGCAGCTGACCACTTTTCTTGTTGTCCTACCGTCACATTTTTATTTTTCTATGCTTTACGATCCCCTTAAGATGTACCTATATGCGGTCAATGTTTAACCACAAAAAGTGATATTTATGTATCACTAAGCAACTCTCACATCGGTTCAAACTACATATGGTCAGTCCATCTAAGAAATCATAACAGTTTTATTATCATTTTTGGAAGACACTAGAACTTCATAAGGGAAATTTTTAAACATGAGGGGGAAAAAATGTGTTAGTTTTAAATGTGTCATAAAGAAAAACCAATAAAAATCTTATTGACTTACCATATTCGCTGCTCTTTCTTCTCCTAGATCACGAATGTTCTCACGTTCCGCGATCCTGCATGAGCATATTTATTACCCACTCCCTCTCTTCCTCTGTCTCCACCCCCACTCATGTTTCCTCCCATTAACATGAAAGTGCCATGAACCAATACCCTTTGAACTCCTGCAGTTTAGCTTCTTTCAGTTACCATAATCATTCTGTAACATTAACTGCAGAAGTAAGTACATGATGCTCAACTCATGCACATGTTGAACCTATTTATTAGTATTTATCCCCTTACTTTCTTGTGATTTGCCACACTTAAATGTTTCGAGTTACTTTTTGATAAAACAGTAAAGGCAGTTTTTAAATTAGTATTTTATTGATTAGGAAAGAGAGAAGTTTCCAAATCTACCTTCCTCTACATGAAAAACTTAATGCGCTACTTGGCAAATTATGAATTATGCACGTGGACAAAATTGTTGCCACCCCTGTGTCGATTATCAAAAAATATATAATTAACACAAACTAGGCTACGTTGTCACACAATACAGAGATGGAGTAAAATAATTTGATGTAAATCAGAGAATTTTGAACCACAAATAAATATATCTGCAAATACCGAATCAGGAGTAGGCGGCGTTCAACCGTACACAAGAGAACGGCGCCGTTATTCGCCGGTGACATCTTATTTTCAGACGACAAATAATCAAAACTGAATACAAACAGAAGCTTGAAAAATATTAAAAAAAAAGATACAAGAGATGACTGAATTGTTACACAAGATGAAAGGTTGAAATTAGACAAATAAAACCACAGACAAATATTACTACTAAGAGATTTGTACTACCCTCCAAAATCACAAACAAAATGACAGAGCAAAGAAAAGACAAAAACACTAGTTTCCCTTCGGCTTGATTTGTGTCTCTGAAGTACGACAAATTGAAACAGATTTAACCGTAGCTCATCTTTCTTTACCCCCACGCCAGCCTTCCCCGCCCCTGAAACAACAAGTTAACAATTTAAGTCAGGCTGCAGAATCCTGCTTGTCTAAAGATTGAATAGTAACATGAATTATGAAGAATGGGTCACAATGCTTGACTGATGCAACACCATCTTCTCATTCTTCAAGGTCTGGCCTGCTGCTTGCTTATATGAGTGAGAAAGTTAAGGTGAGGAGCACATCAACTACCAAATGAATCAACATTTACTGAATTGAATTAGGAACGATGGAGAAGTTGGAAAGAGTAAGAGAGCGTCAGTGAGCTACTTAAACTCCTCAACCCATCAGTCGTTTTAGAGTTGGAAAAGAAAGCCTGGGTTTGTTGTAAATGAAAATGGCAGTGTGCCTTTCTTTTTTTTTTTTTTAATAAACCCTAATCAGGTCAAGCTGAGATGTAGACACTATCAAAGATATTCATGCAGATTCAGATTTAAAGTAATTGTACTACCATGTTTCCTCTGAAGACGCTTTGGAATGGCGCACCTAGTCCTGACTTGAAACCTCAAAAGGTTTGGAGCTCATTACGGGGCGATGCGGTGAGGACTACCTCAGCATGTCGCTTCTCTTTTGCGAGTCTTTTCTCCCATCTGCTGGACACTGGTGGGAACTCAGGTGAATATGAAAATACACAGGGAAAGCAGAACTGCCAACTGTACAGTCAACACGTGCCGTAGACTTGCTATGCTGTAACAAAAATAAGAGCGAATAATTATTCATTTTGTGCAACAACTAATATTTACTGTAGTCTGCATCAATGTGACATAAGAGTTTTCAGTCACTTTTTCATTTAAATCACATTATTTTTATGAGAGCAGTCAAATAAAAACAATCTTTGCCCTGTAATGTAGCATTGCAAGTCCATCCTTACATGCGTGGCCTTTACATTTAAAGGCTTCAACTGAAGCTTCAAGGTGGCAGAGACGGTAGCATTCTGCAAAGCTTCCCAGTCACAGACGCTCTCCTCACCTTTCATATATTTTACATCCTTGAATGTTAGGCGTTAAAAAATAGTTCTCCAACTCGGCTGTCAGTCAACATCAATCACGGCGCTCTGCTAATGAGATGAGCCTGAAGTGACGATTCTAACAAGCTTTTTTTTCCCCCCTCACTGTTCTTAGGCTTGACCTGCTTTGTGTTGATTCCCTTCTAATCTCAGGCTTTCTTCTGTCATCAAAGTAAATCCCATCAAAAGCGACGCGCAGCGACGCTCCAAGGTCTAACTTTTTCAGACATCATATAGCTAATGATTTGCTGAAGTTAATATTACTGTAGGTGGAGCTGATTTTATTTTTTCTTAGTTGCTTCTAAATATCAGAGGATTTAAAGTATTTGAGACACGAGTGATTTTTCTTTAATTAAATTGGGGGGGAGGGGGACACTTGTAGCTTCATACGGATGCATAGAGCGATGTGCTGTTGTAAACTCATTTAAATACCAACCTACAGATTCAATATCCCTAATTCTGAGATGTGCTCTACGTGTTAAGCTCACATAAGACTTTATAGGCACATTTAATTAACTTAACCTACCAAAATCATATATTAGAAATGCTACAGTCTCGGTCATGAAAGCCCATCCCACAATTGTTCCAATTTTAATAAACAGCTCTAGCCACAGAAAAGCAATTCACTGAAAGCGTATGATGTTTAAGTTTTTTAGTTTTTTTTTTTTTTGCTATGTTAGATCAGCAACTAATTGAAAAGTCAAAGAGAAATGGAGTAAACTCAAAATGGAGGTTTCAGACCGAGGGCTGCCAGAGCTATAGAATAAGAAAAATAAAATAAAATCCTTAAGAGCATGGTACAAGCTTATTTGCTTATTTCCGAGATTTTTGACAAAAAATTGGCAGATTGACAAGACAAAAATTGAGCACTTTGTAAGGTATGAAATGTGTCACATATGGTCTTAAACTAATACGCATTTTAGAAAACAAACTATCAAATATGACAGTGACAGTGTGACGTACCAGGATGACTTGATAGAACCACGATTTCTGCTTTCTAGCAGGAAACACTGAAGGCCAATCCAAAATAGCTCAATCAGTGTCAACCTCTCTTCTCCCCCCCCCCACTGAAACGCACAAACAGCAATAAAATGGAAATAAACATCAGCTGGTAATTTTGACCCATTTTTACTTGTCGGACCAAAATCAAAATCTTAAAAAAATGGCTGCCGTCAGCCAATACTGATGATAATGTCAATATATCTCTACCAACACCTTTATTTATTGTTGCTATGTAACCCCTTAAACGTTGAACCCAGTGCATCATAGTAAGAGTTTGCAAAGTGACACTATTTAGAACAAAACATATTTGCTCCCCTGTGTAAACACCCAGCTCTCTCCCCCCTCTACCATTGACCGTTCTGCTGTCGTATCGCATTTCTGTCCCAGAGGAAGTCCGTCTCCCACATTTCAGTGGATTATTGCTCCTCTAAAGCCCCTCTGGAAGATGCTCAGCCACGAGAGCAGGAGTAAAAGCTAAATCCCGCTCTGGTCGCTTTTGGCCCATCCGTGGACCCCAAGGAACGTTGCCACTGAGCCTCCACGTCAAAATGAGTCACGGGTTCCTGTCTGTGATTCAAACCGGCAGCGGCGTTTCCATATATAGAGAGCAGTACAAGAGAGGAGTGATGAATGCTATTATTTGGTAAACATAAAGAAAAAGAAAAGTATTAACAGGGTGAGGACCAGGCCACCAGAACAGACTCTGTAAACGCACATGGAAAGCCTGGGGACTTGCATCAGCCACTGTTGTTTGTCTTTCTTTAATAAGGTCAGAGTTAGAACGTACCAGCTGAAGCATGCTTAATGAGAAACAGTAGTACTCCATGCCTCAGTGCATTATGACCACTGCTGCAACTGAAAACTGCCCTCCCGACGCATTTACTTGCACTCCGATCCTCTGCTGCACCTTACCCAATAAATCCCACTGAGGTTTGAAACCGTTTCTCACCTGTTTTAGAAATGCCCCAAAAACGGATAACGTTGATTTGTTCAGCAGCAGAGAAAATAGATTAGAACATATGGTGCAATGAACTTTTCCTTTCGCCATTGACACACAGTGTGATTTAATAAAATAATAAAATATACACACTTGTACACGATTTAGATTTCCTCCTGAAATATTACACGAAGGAGAGATGTGGGTAGAACTCCGTTTTCCACGTTGCACTGAATTTGGCGTTTATTTGCCGTCGTCGTGCCGACGTTGTCAAAATTCATTTGCAAGCTCTGACACTGCAAACTCTCACTGAAGCACACACTGCAGCAAGCTGCGTCTGTGCAAAACGGCAAAAGAACATTTCGTTTGACAATAACATTGCACAAAGAATTAATTTAATGAGGAACTTTTAAATAGTATATGCATAAAAAAACATTATAACTGTCCCATCTGCATGAGGCTTCATTTCATATCAAACTGTCCCTGGACAGAAGCATCGCAGTGGAATGATTAATGCATGCATCTCATGGGAGGGTCACTCTCACAAGAGAGTGGCAACAGCTGAAACAATCTTTTTCTTGATGCTCGTGCAAACGACATATTTTTCTTTTTGAATTTTTGTTGAGAGACGTCCAACTAGGAGAAGACCTTGTTTATGGCTCCCAAATAATCTGCTCTACGGCTCTGTCGCGTAATTTGCATATGTTATCCTGCAGGATTAAACATAACTATGAATCACTGCTGTCACATAAAGCTTGTGGTAATGCAGAAAGAAAAAAAAAAAAACCCTGCAAATCAACACCAATTGTGTTTATGATGTGCTTTCACGTCTGTCAGCTTAGAGGGACCGGTTCGTTTGGGATCATTTTATTTTTTTATTTTTTGGAGGTCTAAATTTTTTTTTTTTTTTTCCTTGTAAGTACAGTTAACATTTTATTGCGTCATTCTGCAGACCTGTCCCTTGTCTCGGTGCTGCTTTGGGAATACTCTCTCAAACATGATTTATTCTTAAGCTGTGACAGACCATCGCTTGTGAGACTTGACATAAATACATATGTGATACACCTTATGTTTAGTCAAAATCTCAAGAATTGCAGAAAATCCAAAGTCCCTGAAAC